TCTTTCCCTGGCAACGCTGATGAGTCGTTCTACTGTATACACTACTTAGGTTTCTCTCATTCTACTAATGAGAATGAATTCGCATTTATTTAAAAAATATAAACATGCTTTAAAATCGATTCACTTTAAATAAACTTATTTACAGCTTTTTATTCAAATTTATTGTAGTCTTCATATTAAAGTAACAGGAATGAAGAGAAACCCTACAGTCTCATCCCCAAATCAAATCAATATTTCATCCGTGCATCTGATACTTAGATCCTACCCACGTGCAAGTTCTGTTTCCTGTATCCATGGCAACATGCTCCGTGGACCTGCATCTCCCTCCTCTTCTGCTGATAATGTCGTGCATGTTTTTCCTGATTGCTTCTGTCTCACTCGTTCCTGACTCCCCTCCTCTCCGTCTCGACCTTTCCTCTAGGAAACCAGTTTGGTGTGCGTCGTTCCACACCTTTCTCTTGTTTCGTCTAATCGGTTATATCTGGGGAGGGAAGAGACGATTTTGTTATTTGTTTTACAGAAATGAGACTATGTAACGCATGTGTCTCTTCCTCTTGCGTTCCTCATTCAGTGACACATGGAAATCTCTCCTGGCTGACAGATGTAGCCCCGCGTCCTTCGTGCAGCTGCCTAGGATGCTAAGGGATGAAAAGCTACCACGTGTCCAGCGACTCCCGTGTCCACGGGTGTGCAGGCGGTTTCCAGTTCTTCGCCATCACCCCCCTCCTCCCGTGCCGCAACGGCGAGCTCAGCTCCACCCACCATGGTCCACTGATGCTTTCATTTCCGTGGGATTTAGTCCCCCCAACCGGCCTTGTGCATAGAGGGTCATTTGGAGCATGGTTTATAAATAAATAAATGCACGCAGCCTAGTGCCATACATTCAAAGACGTTCGGGAAGTGATAGTAACGACAAGAATATTTGACTATGTGGTGTCTAGCAGCCTTTTGATGGAAAAAGGTATGTTTTCTGGCAACGAGCAAGTATACATCATCGAACGAGAATTTGTTAGGAAAAGCACAAGAGACAACCTGGCAGCGCAGCAGCTGAGCGTCATTGTCGCAAAGCGGTTTCGCTCCTGGACTTGCGAGGCCTTCCACGCTCGCTGGAGCTCCGGGAATGTGGATGCAGATCCCCGACCGCGAGCTCTTCGCACCGCGAGGCCCTTTCAGCCAAGCTCCGCTTCGAAAGACCTCGCCAGCTGCCTCTGTCCAAGCCGGCGACTTAAGCATTAGGAAGGTGTCTGTTTAAGGCAGTGTGTGTGGAGGAGCATCCTCTTAGGAGTCAGAACACTGACCCTCGGCTCTGCCAACCTGGAGCAAGCCACAAAATCCCTGTTTATAAAATCCAGCTCGCGAGAGGGTCGCCACCTGCTCGGCGGTACCGTAGCGAGGGACAGATGGGATCATGTAGACGGCAGTGTGGGCAATATACTGGGTACAGGGGCACTTTCCTGTTCTTTGGCTCGCCAGGAAAGAACGTTTCACCACTTAAAAGAAGGCGATGTCACAGCAGCCACGTCATGCAGCATGAAAGAACAGAGCGACCGATACAAAAACCAAGGCCTCCGTGTCAGCCCTTGAAAACTACGGGCGGGCAGTTCAGTGACGTCTCTAACGTGAAAACATTTACAGGGCTGCCGCGGGCTTTAATGTTTCACGGCTCACGAAAATGAACGGGTATGATCCCCGCCCCCGACGTCTCTATTTTTAACTCCTGGACAGCGTGCGATGTGACATCCCCGTGGCCTCTCGCTAGCCCTGGCCCCTGCCCGCCCTGGCAGTGCACACGTGCGGCAAGGATCCAGCTGCTCGCGGACGCTTCCTGTCCCACTACTGTTGTTTGTACTGTGACGAAGCCATTGGGAATTGGTGCTTCCGGCGATGAACGCACCCGGTATGCCGTGCGGGAACAGATCTGCGGCTGGCCGAGCAGAAAGCACCGGCGAACGTGAGGGACGACGCATTCCAGACACGGGGCACGCTGTGAGCCCTTGCTCTTCGGGAGGACAGAACGCCGGTGTCAGGAGTTCCCGGAATCTCCACGCCAGTTGAAATTTGGCAGTTGGTTCCTTCCGGCTGTTCTTAGAGGTATTCGCTCTACAGGAATTGAGAAGTGCCTCACGGTTATGGCTTAAGATTTTTTATGTTTCGCAGTTTGTTTCGATTCTTCCCTTTGGAAAATGGAGGAAAATGGGTGTTTACTGAGCAGTGAAGGGCTCATGAAATTCTGTAGAGTTAAACCTGAATCGTCACAACTGTCAGTAGCTGGTAGACGCAGAGGGGAAAAAAGTCATCACATGTGAAGCACACAAATGAACGATTATTATTAATGTTTTACCTTCCAACCGCGTGCGGTGGCGGCAGGTAGACAGTGCAGGAGAAAGGAAGGCGGAGACTCCTCGGGGGTGGTTTCGAGTCTCAGAACTTGTCAGGGCCTAGAAGTCACCGTTCTCCGGCTTGCCTCTTACGCTTCCAGCGTGCGTCAGTCGAAGAAAAAGGAGAAAGAGAGCTGTTGAGATTGAAGCTGCCTTTATTCAAAGTCGTTTTTCAGTCTAAATCCTTTTATCCAAAGGAACATTTTAGTTGTCGATCATTTTTCATTACTTTAAAGGGTTAACTATTAAAATTTAAAATGTAACACGGAAAAACAGTAAATAAATATTTTGGTACATGCTCCACATTCTTCTTATTCTACCAAGACATGGGGAAAATGTGGATTTTTAAAAATTCTTGGAGAAGAAATATAAAACGTAGATCATAGGGAAAATGGATACATGCAAACTCTTAGTCTCTTCAATTTTCTGTCAATCTAAAATTGTCCTTAAAAAGTGAATTCTATTCAAAAAGAGACAAGAACAAAACTCATTTCCATTTTACTCAATATCCTTGTTCTGGCATTGTTTCCATTATCTATAAGATGTAAGGGTAAAACAAATGTAACAATATTCCTGCAATATGTTCCTTTTGAAAGTGTCATACTTTCTATTTGAACCACTTCCAGATTTTAGTCTGGACTCCTATTTAATGTGACTTAATTTAATACAATGTAGACTTTTATTTCCTTTGTAAGGAAAGAAACACATGGACAATTTCTTGTTCCTTATTATCTCTAATAAGTTTAAACCACACAAGTCTTCTTTGCAAAGTTAAGATTTTCAGATGTAAGAGCAAGCTTTACATTTCACAATTAATTATTCTCTAAAGCTAAGAACTAATAAAGCAGATTTTTAGAACTTTTAGAGGACACAATAAAAATGTATGCAATTTTACAACAGCCGATAATGTGAAACATTATCATAACTTGAAGTGGTATTTTTAGTATTTAAAATTACACTTATTACTCTAAGTTTATCCTGTTAGCTGTTTTTTTTATACATTGATATAAAAAAAGTTTACCCATTGAATACAGTAACAAATATATTCTAATTGCCATAGTCTAAAACAGTGCTTAGAAACCCCGATGCTTAGTGCTGTTTCTCTGATTACTTTGACAAGATTTTCTGAGTTTAATTTTTTTTATTTCCCAGCCATCTTTCCGAGACTGGCATGCTGATTTTTCTGATTAACTCTCTCTGTAGCTGGGTTGGTATTTTTATTTTTTATTTCTAAAGAATTGAATAGCACCGCGACTCCAAGTGATGCGCTGGTATCTTATAAATGCTCAAGGTACGGCTTCTAATGTTGAAAAATAGAAAAATAAATTGACCTTGATGAAGTGTGTCTTCTTTTGTCTGTTCCCAGGAAAGTTTATTTCAGGTATTCCTACCGCTGAATGATTAGCGTTAACAGCTTTTCTCCTCCATTTTCTTTCAGAGTGTCTCTTCATCTTCCTGATATATGGGGTGCATGACACAGAGGTAAGTCTGCTCGGAGTATCTCAAGGCTGACAGAGTGAATGAGAGAAATGACAGGTTTCTTATCTTGATAACTGAGGAACAAAGTTGGCTTTTCATATGAGTGTCCTACTGCCCTTCATGCTTGGACTGGCTTATATGCATCCCGGCTCACCATTAAACACTGACACCCGGAACAAAGGGACAGCCTCATTTCTCATAGGCGCTAACGGATATTTTACTACTGCCTCAAGTTTTTGAATTCTCAGTCCTTTTGATATTTGACTAGACCTGACAGTATCGAAGTGTAATGGCTTCAGTGACGGAATGCTTACATGTAGTTGCATGGAGTTAGAACAATACTAATATTTCTTATCTCAAAATGCTCATTAAATGTCTTCTAAGTTTTCGAGCGGGCTCAGAGAGGCCCGTAAGGAATTGTTAATAATCTTTATGGTTTCGATGGTGAAGTTTCTCAGGGAAGTCATTTATTATTGAATTATGAGAAGTTCATTAGCTAGAAATACTTTGAGAAAAATGGAGTCGTCATTTCATTAAGAAAACGTGCTACGTACATAAGTTATTGTCCTAGTTCTTGTTTTATGAAAAAAATTCCTGTGACTCGTGAATACTTTGTCAGGAAAGTTGCTGGTTTAGATTGTTGCGTGCTTAATATGAAAGTGAGTGCCTCGTGTACATTAGGCACTAAACAAATCCTTGTTTGATTTTTGTTGAAATAACTTTGATTTCAAGATGTCAACCTTGTAATATTTCCAATTCTCAGGATTGTATACTGGGGAAGCTGAGTGAATCCTAGTGACCTTAGAAGGGCCTGGTGTGCAATTGTTCACGAGTCACATAAGGGGCCAGGCAGCAGTGTAACCTGGCAAGCAGGCTCATCAGAGCCAGACTGAGAAGGTGTTGGCATTTAAGCAGCATCTGATGATGAACCTGCGTGTGGGCGTGTCTTACAGGGCTGCT